TCTAGGTGTCTCGGCCAGGGCTGAGACACCCACAGGTGTCTTGAGCCTAGACCGGCCCCCCAAGTGCTTTCATGACCTCTATTTTGCCCGTTTTCGTCGGTTACTGGTTATTCTGATGAAAATCAGCACCAATCAACACGGGTTAACGCGTTGCGATGAAAAGTCAACGCGGACGATCCAAAAGCCTAAGGTCAACGCCGATCAACGCGTAACCCTAGGTTAACGCCGGTAAATACGTTGCGATGAAAGTCAACACCGGGTGATCCGAAACCTTAAGGTCAATGCCGGTTAACGCGTAACCCTAGGTCAACGCCGGTCAACGCGTTGCGATAAAAAAGTCAACACCTAGGGATCCAAAACCCTAAGGTCAATGCTGGTTAATGCATAACCCTAGGTCAATGTCGGTCAACGCATTGTGATAAAAGTCAACACTGAGCGATCCAAAACCCTAAGGTTAATACCGGTCAATGCGTAACCCTAGGTCAACGCCGGTCAATGCGTTATGATGGAAGTCAACGCGTAGTGATCCGAAACCCTAAGGTCAACATCGGTGAACGTGTTACGATGAAAAGTCAATGCTTGGTGATCCGAAACCCTAAGGTCAATGTTGGTCAACGCATAACCCTAGGTCAACGCCGATCAACGCGTTACGATGAAAAGTCAACGTCGGGCGATCTGAGACAATACCGTTCAACACATAGCCCTAAGTCAATATATTATGACAGAGATAGTCAGTTCTAAGTCAACTCGATAACACGAGCCAAAATCAACTCACCGGTTTTTTATTCGAGACTTCGACGACGGCCAGACGATAAACGTAGCGCCGGAAGAATTTTAGCTATTCGTTAAAATATTGAATAGACTAAAAATCGAAGGAGTCAAGAATCAAAGCTAATTATAGGTCTTTTTACACTGACTGAAGGTTGGACCGATCACATCCAAAGTATTTCAGCCTCCTCTATAAAAGAAACGAGACTGAAACACTTTGGAGGGGGTATCTGTAGGTATCTAAAAATGCCTATAGATTCCCACACGCTGCTCGAGATAGAGAAAAGATGATGAACATCACTATCCGAGTAACAGAAGCTTATTTGATGTCGACAAGCGTATGAAGTGAGTCGACGAACCGTGTGAAGCAACAAAACTTCAGAATAACGAAAACATGAACTGATCAGGAGCTATGTGTTGCTTACGAAAGACGAAGCACCCATCATGCCCCGTCTACTCCATATATGATTCAATCATGGGAGCTTGTAGATCTCCTCGTTAGCTTTCCTACACATTTTGAATCGCGTGATTCCGAGTTCGGATGACAAAAATACGGCGAAAACGAACGGGCCGCACAAAACAAGGCCTAGAGCCAAAACCAAGACACCCTAGGTGTCTCGGCCACTGCCGAGACACCGCGGGCATCCGCAGCCCCTCGGCCAAGGCCGAGACATCGCGGGCATCCGCAGCCCCAAAAACCTATTTTTGGCTGTTTTGAGTTATTTTTTGACCGCTAACCGCCTAGATTTGTTTCAACTGATAAATTATCAGCCAAGAATATAGTTAAGTGGTTACAACTGAAGATAAGAGTGAATCGATCGTTCTTATCCGAAAATAGAGGTCCTAAAGCCTATAAATACAGCCCCAGGGCTTTTATTTTTTTCTGATCTGGAATTTTTGAGCGTCGACGAAGCTCTGCTGAATTAAAGACTGAAGGATCTAGAATTTCAGAAGAGAGAAGGAGATCGGATCGAGTTCGTCAGCATAAAGAAAAAGAACTCGTCAGATCTACAGTTCCCGGTTCCTTCCCTTGAGATTACCCCATTGCGGTGATCTTGAGAAGAGTGATTATCTCGCTGTTACCGAGATAATTACTTCGGTTTCTTAATTTCTTCGCGAATCAACGAAGCTCCGGATCTGATCAGATCGTTTGGTAGTCCACGGATATCAACATCCCCGTCACAAGCTAAGATCCCACGCAAGCAGCGGAGGATAAACGTCCGTTGTGTTTGTTGAAAGGAAGGTTGTAATTTTTGTTGAAAGTCTTATAAAAAGACTATTTTTTTTGAGTTTGTTGTAACGTTTGAAGTTGTAAATGAACTCATCAATGAAATCGACTTTCTCCCCAAACAATCTTTCCTTGGGCTCATTCATTTTTTGTCTTCTCGTCTAAATTCACAAAGAAATTGAATATGTTTTTATATTCAGCACAAACTTCTGACAATAAGGACTTTAATTTTCCCCTATTTTAATAAGAATAAATGTTAATTTCATATATATGAATTTTTTGTGCTTTTAATTTATTACTTAAATAAGGTTAGGAGCTACCTCTTTTTTCTCTGTAATGAATTCTTCTGTTGTGCATCCAATAAGAATTTCTGCTGTGTCATAATGTTACATTTGCTCTGTCTGTATCATTTTCCATGAGAATTTGAACTAAATACATTATATTTTTTATTGTTAATTTGCTTTAGATTATAATATTAATATTTAATTTTGATATATTTATTTCATGAAGAAGAGATATCACTTAACCTTGGTACTACATCATTGGCGATTCTACAACATTTATTATCTGGACACTTATTATTAACATATATATCCACTTTCTTGTTACAACCTTTGCAAACATAGAACTACTGTTCAATTCTATTATAAATGGTAGTTATCATTACCTTAAGGGTGAAATAGTATGTCTGTATATCGGTAAATTATTCTTAGGTTTAATTGTATGAATTTTAGAGTAGGTTTTCTAAGATCATACATCTTTCGAATATTATAATGGTTGTATATATTAGTAATTTGAATTTTTTCTGCATTTATAAAGAGCCTTAATGGAGATGCTTTTATCTTGGTAGCTTACTCTAAAAGAACGTTGCATATTAGCTTTAAAATATAATATTTTTTCTTTATAGTGTTATATGGATGTTTGCTTGGTTTGCTTACTAATATCTTATTTCTTCAGTAAGTTGTATATTTAGATTGATATATATTATTGACGTAATTTATGATGACATGCATATCTCCTCTATAAATTTGAGACAGGCATAATATGGATTTTATATTTAGTGGCCTTTAATAATAATTTTAGTAATGAAATATACTACCTTCATATTTAGAGATCTTGAATTCTAATAGTGCTATTACATCATTATCTCTGATCGTGTCTTTAAGAATTGATCCTTCGTTAGTAGTCATGCCCCGAAATAAAGTCACACGCACTATATAAGAAAAAGAAAAAGGGCGATTTTATATTTTTTGCTTACGCAGAGTCATGATATGGTAATTTTTCTTTTATCTTCCATGAAGAATGTTTCTTTGATTGGAACAAAGTTGTTCAATACATTCTTCAGGGAGTATTCAGTCGGTGTTTCTTTGATAAATATAACTTATGTTAGTGTTAATTGAAGTGATTCATGGAAGTTCCGAATTCCATTTGAAATGAAAACCGCTTGATTCTTTTGAAGGATGTCTCTAAATTTTCTAATAGTTCTACATACATAAATCTTTATAATTTTTTACCTTATAAATATTATTACCATTAGAGATCAATATTTATAGATTATAATCAATTAATGTTAAGCTATTATATTATAGTCTTTTATTAGTTTGCTGCAATTTAGTCTTCTATTAATTAATGATACATATGTATTTTTGCTGCTCTAGCATATTGGTAAAATTATATGCAGTTACTTTAATTTATACAATAACATTAATTTTTAATCTATCATATATTTTTTTAAATTTTTATTCTTTAACTAGATATTTTTAATCTGTTATTATTACTATTTTTACCAGTATCAACTTGACTATTTTTAGATTTTAAAAAGGGATAGTAAACCTTAAATTATAAATTATATTTATATATCTTAATGAAAGAATATCACACAATTATTCTTTTCTTTGCCAAGTTCTAAAATTTTGGATTTTTATTTTGTGTAATTTTAAACTTTTGAGAGTATTTTGTCTAATTTTTAAAAAAATTTGCTTTTTTTTTGTAATACTTCATGTAATAAACTGATACTACGAAGCTGTTTCATATATTTTATTAATCTTATTTAAATTGTTGTGCTATAAATAGTTCATGGGGTATTAGGATAGGATATAAGTATGGTTAGGATAGATTATAATTTAAATTAAATATTTAAAATAGTACATGATAATTTTGACTATGGAAAGCTTTTCTCGAACTCGTGCTTTTAAAGGAAGTATGCCTTTTTGCTTTCCTTAATTTTTTTTTTATAATTTTGAGAATGACTTCTGTTTTTTTAATTTGTTTGGTGAATTTTGTAAATATCTCATCTACATTATGTACATTTGTAAGTCTACGTTGTTCCTGGATTCGACCTTTGGGGTAGACATTATTTGTCTCATTAATTTATTTAGTTTTGCATATACGCCCTTTATTTTGTAGACATTTATAAATTTGGCATTTAATAATTTTATTTAGATTAACATTTCAATTTAAACTATATCCTTATCTTCATACTATGTACATCCAATAAGAATTCATCAATTTATCAACTTACTCTTACTTAATGGAATAATATTTGAATTCCAAGGGTATTTTTGTTTCCCGAAAGATTTTCCCGAACTTGTGCTTTTAAAGGGAGTAAGTATGATATGATATATTTATGCATGTAGTTTTGAACCAAATTACAATAAAGTAGCAAAACTTAAGAAAAACTTAATTTATAAAAAACGAAATAGATTTATAGGGTACATGTTAGTTATAAGTTTTCTATTTGTTATAAGATTATCTCTTGAGACTGTTAAAGAATATGACGAGAAAATTACTTTATAGCATTCTACTTTAACTTTTTTTTAATTTTAACGGAAATTTCTCAAGTAAGCATAATATGATTATTATGCTATAATTAGTCTATGGTTATTTTTTTTATCGTTATTAAAATGCGATGGAAAACTTTTACTTTGCCTCCACGTCAGTTTTTTCACCTCCACGTCTGATTTTTTGTTTCCGCTGATTTTTTTTCCCCGCTTTGTTTCGCTAGGGCTGAAGAGGGAAACCGAAGAACAAATTGCCTCCACGTCGGTTTTCTTTCCCTCCCCCGTTTCCTTCCCCAACCGAGTGAAATCGACGAAAACTCTGACCACGTCGGATTTTTTTTCTTCCTCGTTGATTTCTTCAGCTAGAGTTACCTCCTTCGCATCGCTCCCGCCAGAAAATCCAGCCAATTAATTCAGCAATCAAAGGACCGGAGCAAAGCCATCAGGCAACAGCGGTGCATTTTAGAGTCCATCACCGACGTCACCGACATCAACGCCGTCATCGAGCAGGCCGAGAAGGCTGACCGCGTTTACACTGTCGATAACCCTGACCCAAATCTCCTTGTTAATCTGTATGTCTCATTGATTTTTGCCCTCTTTTATTTGAAAAGATTGGTTTTTGATTGAAAAGATGTGATTTTGATTGTTTGGGATTAGGGATTTGGATGGGGTATTGTCGGTGGAGGAGATGAGGGAGGAGGAGAGGGAAGAGGAGGCTCTACACGCTGGCAGTCTCCAAGTTCCTCGAAGGTGAGATTTTTGTGATTGTCATCTTGGTGCTGAAAGGATTTCATGTTTGATTAGTTAATTATGTATGTAATTGCAAAAGAATGTGGATAAAAAAGAAATAAATGTTTAATAATTAATTAGTTAATCATGTTTGATTCTACGTTTTCTGGATGAACATTTAAGATTATGATTAGTGCCTAATTAGTGTATTTCTCTTGAAATCAGTTATAAAGTATAGTCAGCATCCTTTGTGGTGTTTTTCTCTGGTTCCTATCACTTCAACTGGTTCTGCATACTTACTCAGGATCCAGAAAATGCATTTCATATCGACTTCTATTAGTTTGTGAATAATCAGGTTCCTATCAAGAATTTTATTTTCGGTAGATATAGTTATTATGCCATGTTTCTATTAGTTTGAGAAGGAAATGTAGTGCAATTCCATTTGCATTGTTGATGCGTTTATTTAATTTTCCACTCTCTTAACTGAGAATTATTATTTTTAACAAGTGGTTTATCTACTATGGATAATATTTGTTGTCAAATGCTTCCTATTGCAAATGCATTGATCTCTTTCTTTCCAAATCAACCGAAGGACTGCGATGATTTCATGATCCCATCTTTTTGTTGATTGAGAAGAAAACATCACCAATCATGCCAAATATCTACTGGAGCAGACAACTAGATCATTCAGAATTTGATGTTAATCAGTTGCCATATCATATAAACTGATATAGATCTTTAGTCATAAATTCTGTTGCATCTTTACTTCTGTGTAGTTGATATCAAAGAGACTATTAATTTTTAGAATCATACTTCACCAACTATCAAATGATCTTTTAAGGACAATTCGTGTGTAAACCTTGCACCTGTGATCTACATCATATCATGTTTCTGCCTAAGAAATTACAGCCTAGAAGTGAATATTATACTCCAAAAAAAATGGAGAAAACTCCTGGTGATTCAGTTTATATTATTATGTAGTTGAGAGACTCATATTAGATGCAAGTAATGGAGAAAACTCCTGGTGATTCAGTTTATATTATTATGTAGTTGAGAGACTCATATTAGATGCAAGTTACAACACACAGAATTGGTTTGACATGTATAAACAGATACAGAGAAGTGTGAACTGATTACTTAAGGGAATTTCCAGATTTTTTTCCCTGTTTGATTTTGCATACTTCCTTTAATCTTTTCAATATTATGCAGTTTTTCTTGTTGCCAACAGCCTACGCCATTTCTCATTCCTAATAAGAATGTTGGATTATTCTCTTATCTTGCAGACCTCAGGTCACTATTGCAACAGCAATGATGTTATGCCATCGCTTTTATCTCCATCAGTCTCACAGAAGGAATGAATGGCAGGTAAGGAATCATATATGTTATGCACTAATGTGTGTCACGTTAAACTTGTTATTGTATTGTCATGCAATTAACTGTCTGTTGTTCTAAAGAAACATATAAACTTACAAACCGATTCAGATGTCATCGAGTTATGTTCTCTGATGATATTTTTGAGAACTGGGGCAAAATGCCCAGGAGATTTATTAATTAGAGAAAATAGATCCAAAATATATATACATGCAGAAGAAGACAGAGAAGAAGTGCAGTAGGAGATGAGTAAAGATTAGAATACAAAAAAGACTAATATCACTTTCTACATCAAGCTGCTGCGTTGCTTCGAGTCAAGCACCTATTTCGGTGTAAGGCGGTGTTGTCTTACTAAAGCAAGATGATCATCAATCAGTATATGAAGAGTGTTTTTATCTTTTCAAAATACTTTTGCATTCCGTTCATTCCAAATATCAAAGTAACATGCAAGGACGATAAAATCCCTTTGACTAACGATATACATCACAGAGCGCTAATATATTTTTGAAATTCCTTACAGGCTTCGAACCACACTCTGCCTGCAATATGAACCCAGTTACATTGTAGCCGGGTCTCTTTATCTTGCTGCTAAGCATCACAATATGAAACTTCCAACATGGGATGGTTGCATTTGGTGGCAATTGTTGGAAATCGTGCCAAAACAGTTAGATGGTAAAATAACTTTTACCATCTTTACTAGTTTGCGAATGCATAGACACTATCTTACATTTACTTAAGTGGGTATTCTATTACAAATTGTAGAGATACTTCAACAAATGATGGAGTTATTGGGTTACAAGAAAAGACCTTTGGTATCTCCTGCACTCGAGAAGCCAAAGGTAATCCAACCTCCAATTGCGTCTGCGGAGAAGGCAGAGGAGCCATCAAGCAGCCCAGAGTCTTGTGTATTGAGCAGAGATGGGTCTTCAAATAGAAGCCCTAGTCATGAGTTTAGTGAGGAAGCTAGCTCAGCAAGACTCGTAGAATTGAAGAAAAATAGGGAAGCTCAATGCGAGCTGAGAAATTCTGAAAGCCCGGATGGTGTTGTTGAGGATTGCAGAGAGGAGCATGTCCTTAATAAGATCAACGTGGACAGAATCAAAGCATTGATGAAGAGGCAAAAGAGGAAAACAGAAGTTAATAACAAGTGTATACAAGCTTTGGACGATTCAAGTGAAGAACCTTGGATTCAAAGAGAGTTGGAAGCTGGAATAGAGTTGGAAACCAAGAGGCAAAGACAAGTTTGAGATTTTGTAGGGAGATTGAAGTTGTTACTGCAGATACCATGAAATTATTATGAATGGATCTGAACTTTGGTGGATTATTTTAAGCGCTGCTGTTATTAAAAGTTATGGCTGCAGTAGCTAAAATGAGCCCAGAATGTGTTCAGTTGTACAGAATGGCATTGTTCAAGCTCTATAAATCATTCAATTATAAATGTAATGGTTTCCATCCCTTTCTCACAAAGTTCTGTGAGGATAGTTGTATGTACGCGTTCAATTTTTCTTTTGATAAATGTGTACACGTTCAATTGTAGATTCTTTTATAGCTCAAGCTCTGTAAATCATTCAGTTATGGGTGAAATCATATCATTAATTTATCACAGCTCTTTGAGGATACTCAATTGGATGCTTTTATGTTGTTCAGACATTGTAAACTAGTTTGTCACACATTTTTGTGCATATACTTTCCTCCAAGATATAGCTGCTACACAACGAATAATTTTTGTTTTACGCTAGGGCTTTCGTGTTAGTCTGCGACCGTGAGGGTAGCGCTTTTGGTTAGGTGCATGGTGTTCTTACTCATTGTTGCAACACTCTTGAATTTGAGTGTTGTTTCCGCACCTCTATTTTTTGATTTATTTTGTTATAGCAACAACCTTTTGGTGTTGCGAATTCATCTAACCAAATAAGACTTTTAAAATTCAAATGTACTTCGGACAACATGGTGTTCCAGCTACTCCTAACCAATCAAGTATGTGGATGTTGATCTGTATTAAAGTTGGTAAATTTTTTTAGATTTGATTATAAATTTCCTTGTTTCAAATATGGCTTCCTATACTAGCTTTTTGGTCAATACTAAAAATCTGCACGTGTAGATATTGGGATCACAAAAACAACGTAGTATTTTATAATGGTTGGCTAAAAGGTCAAATTGGTCAATGTACTAGGGCTTGATTCTCACAAACAGAAATTTATAATTCATTTGGGATATTATTATTTGTTCATGTTACATTCGAACTTTTATATGATTAAGATTACATCATATAACGAGCACAAATGTTGTTGTATAATATAGTGTGGGTAATCTTACCATGGTGACCATAAATACTTTTCGCTACAAACTTCAAAACCAACCAAACACAAGAAAAGTAGGAAATGTCGTATCAACAAAAGTTTTCCTTTTTTTCCATGCGAACCAAACACAAGAAAAATAAATACATTGGTTTCCCACCATTTATTTTGTACGAACCAAAGCGAAATAATCTATTTCTTGGAGAAGTTTGGAAAACTTAAAACTTGTGTTTTTATACATGGAAATGCATTTCCCTATATCTAGGAAACGAACCAAACAACCCCTAATAAGAAGTTTAAGTATTAAAAAAATAAAGTATTTCATAAAACCTTGGCTAATTGACTTGAAATCAATTTATAAACCATGTATATATCTTTGAAATTCAGGGCTAAAATACTAGTAACATTGGCGTCGAAAACTCCAAATTTCACACTGGAAGTTTCGAGACATCGAGTCGTCGGTGGGGATGACTTGAGGTTTCCCAATAAATAACGGAATCCTCAAGAAAATAATACACGTGGAACATTATAATTGGCCAACCAGTTACACGCCACGTCATTATTTATTCATTTATAATTGCGCTCGTCTAATTTCTTCCGTTCCTTGAATGAGAGCGGAATCGTCGTTGGATTTGGAATTTCTTCAGCCATGGCTTATGTCGAAAAAGGTATTAATTAATCCCCGCAATTTTCCTTCAATGAGTATGGATTATGTCTCTGACCTCGTTTTTCTATGTTAATTGTGGTCTCTCTCTTGGAATTTGATCGGTTCTTCTTCCTTGTTGGGATCCTTTTAATTTGCCTTTTTTTTTGGTGGCTCTGATCTGTTGAATTGGTGCATATTTTTTGATTATTTGATCTTTCAGCTTCAAAAATTGAGGCGAAGGATCAAAATCTTGGGGGTTTTTTTTTTTGATGTGAGACCCCCATATTAGCCCTAATTCAAGATTGTTCTGAGAATCAATTACGTTATTTAAAACTAGGATTAGTATTTGATCTTCGGAGTTGGAGCCCCCAAGCTCTGTATGTTGTTTGAAATGGGGACCCCCAGCCCCCTCTTCAGTCTTCAGTTTAGCTTATAAGGATTTTGGGGTTCTAATGATCTTTGTACCAACAGTATCCCCTTCGTGATACAATTAACGATCTTATAATATCCTCCATTTGCGTGACAGAAGACGTTTGAGGTGGTTATATTTTTATCCCTCTTCCTTTATAGGTTTTAAAGACTTAATGCATAAGGATATTAGTTGCCGAAGTAATAGTATATATGCATGCACATAATGCATTGTATTCGTAGTAATAAGAAAGTCATGGTGCAAATGTTTTGTAATGGACAAAATATACAACTATAATGTGCAATTGTTCGTCGACAGTTTTGAGGAATCAAGGCTGAGGTGAAATACTGCATTTTTTGTGATGGTAAGAGTGTCGTGTCAGCTTTCATATATTCATTGTACAATTCTGGCTAGCATATTATGTTCTTGAACTTCTTTGCCGTCACACGATTGGTCTTAGCTGTAACTGAGTTATTGTTGTTTAATGTTGGCGTTGAATCTACAAAATTGTGGTTTCTTACTTTTAGAATATTTGTACTGGTTCATTCGCACCATACTCAAATTAGCATCTTCCTTCGAACAAATGAGTGCATAAATCTTTAAAATCTTTTGTCCAAGCGGTAAGTGATCCTCAAAATGCGTTGGGAAGATTTTGGATAGGCTAGTAAAGAATGAATCAAGCATAAGGCCCTACTCCGAATCTTTTATCACTGGTCTTTTCCATATGTCATGCATGTGAAAGGAAAAAATAAAATCTTGGTTGTGCATGGAGTAACATGGATGTATATTTTGTTGCTCATGTCATCGATGAGATGGGGTTTTAGGAGTCGTCATTCACAAAAATACTGCACATAGATGGAGCTCTAGAAGTAAAGATAAATGCGTCTTACATTGCTTTCTTGTTTAAATGATAGCTAGTTATGCAAGTTGCAACTAAAGGGTTATATAAAAGGGTGAGCATTGTTTCTCTCTGGACATGAGTGATTTGGGTCAAACAGTCAAAGACTACCTTGAATATAATTGCATAACTCCTTGTAGTTTGTGTTATAAAGGTCTATAGGGAAACTTTCGTAATCAGTTTTGCGATTTCTTCACCTGTGATTCACCAGATTACATTTTGTACATCCATAAGAATGTATTTTCTACTAGTCCTCTACCATTTATCCTTGTAGGCTCCCCTTTGTACACTTCCTTCTTCACATATCTAGTTTTCTAATAGCATTATTTTTTTACATAATAGGACTATAGAAAGAAAGGTCATTATCCCCATTTTATGCACTGTGTTATGCCCATGCTTAATCTGTTACTGAAAATTTATCAATTTGACCCTTCAACTTTTTTAGCAATATAAATGCAACACTGGTTAGTTATAAACCCTCAGTTCTTTCATTTTATTATTAGTTACTTTCATATCTATTACTAAGCTATTGATTTTTTGAGGAAAGTCAAAATGTTATATCTCAGCATCTTAAGTCCTATTCAAGGACAGATCCAAATATGAGGGTGTGGGTGCGCGTGCCTCCCACACATGTGACAAATTTATAAGAAATTACATACATTCTAAGTAGGTTCCCTCATAGATTATTTACGTGGCCCAATACAAAGTTTAGTAGTATTTATATGAAAATGATAATGAATTTATATGAAAACTAATAGTGGAAAAGGTATTTTGCGTCAGGATCGTTGTGATTGTTGTATAAATAAGTGTTTCTATTGGTAGATAAGTTATTAATCTATATATAATTGATATAATTAATTGTATACATGCTCCCATAGAAAAAAATATTTGGGATCCGTCCCTGGTCCTTTGTGTTGGTTTGCTAGGATGTTTGGAGTTTTACCTTTTATAAATAGTTTATATTTATATTGGAGCTGCTACAACTAAACATTATGTTCTAGTGAAGTTCTCGGAGTATGACCTGATTGTAGGGTAGATATTGTACAAGTTTGCATTGTGCTAAGTGAAATAATCTCCTCCGTTTTAAATACAAATTTGTATCATGGTTTTTGATGCATTTAAAAAACTTAATTTATTATTATTATTTTCTAAAAGAGCATATCTTGAAGTGGAATTTCTGAATATAGACTTTGCATCAACTTTCTCTTTAAGACAAAATAACTAACTCATGCTTAAAGTATTGGTGAACTCTGAAGTTTCCCCCTAAAGTATCGATTTGCGTATTTTGCCCCTTAAATTATGTTTGCTGTTTAATTGTGGTCAGTTTGTAAGCCTACAATCAAATATTGAATCAATGAGGTGACACTATTTTTCTGCATTTTCTATGGGTTTTTATCAGTTTGTCTCCTTTTTCTTAAAAGAAAAATGTTACCTGCCTCTCCCCTAAACTTTTGACCCTTTAACCCTTTTATGAATAGAAAAATTATTTTTAAAATTGCAGAGAATACAATAAATAAAACTATAATGTCATGAATTTGTTAAATATTTGGATGTAGGCTCACAAAATGATCACATTGGACACATACACATAGTTCAAGAGGAAAATAAACAAATCGGTCCTTTCGGGGAGAACTTGAGAGTGCACCTATACTTTAAGGGAGATATGCTCATTTTATCCTTCTCTCTGAGCATCTTTTTGTAAGGAAAGCTTGTTGAAGTTCGACTTGTAGCATGTTTGAAGAGCAGCACAGTGGTATTTCTGTGTGTAGAAATAGGCCAATCTTTTATCATCTAGGCATCTGGTATGAATATTTTTGATACATTATTGGTGTCTAGTATGATATTTATATGAACTTTTGCACTCATTCGCCAATTAAGTACTGTTTCTTTCAAGTTGTAGTTGCCAATCTTTTATCATTTAGGTATCTGGTATGAATATTTTTGCCAATCTTTTATCATTTAGGTATCTGGTATGAATATTTTTGATACATTATTGGTGTCTTGTATGATATTTATATGGACTTTTGTACTCATTCTCCAATTAAGTTACTGTTTCTTTCAAGTTGTAGTTTCTAATAAACTTTGATGGTTACTAATTGTCACTGCAGCCTACATGGCTATAAAGAGACATTTAACGCGACTTGCCTCATCAATTTGTTCTGTGAACATGACCAATCAAGTTTTTCATGTAACAATACATCTTCTTTTACTTTTTATTATCTCCTCTATCATGCATATCAGACATCCATGCACCTTTTTTCCCCCTCTCACTTTTATAGTTTTGCTTTTCCAGCCCTCTTGTTCTGTGATCTCTCCTTTTTGCATGCTATTAAGGGTGAGGGGAAAAAAAACTGTTCTCACTCTCATCTATAGTTCCTTCTCCGTGATAACTATAGGCTTGTTTGTGACTTAAAGCTGAGAGGATACTTTTGCTTAGATAGCAATGTGATATTACTGGTAGCTCAGTTAATTATGTGCGAAGGAATTCATATTTTAGCAAACTGGAAATATACATCTATATTTTAGATAACCAATAAAAGTATGATGATTGGACTAGTTATGCATATACATAGTTGTGTCCATACTTCACAAAATGAGAAAGCTTGTGAAACTTTCATTCTGCTTCACTCCAGTGTAGAATCTTGTTTTACATTTTGTAGACCACTTTGTTTGCCTATTTCCATTAGAGAAGGGATCTGACGTTAATTTGTTGGAAAAAAGCTGAATCAGTTGCCTGAATGCAGTATCTCTTTCCCCCTTTTCATAAGATTATTTTGGAGCTCAAGTTTTGGTCTTTGTTAGTTGACTTACGTTGTACATCATTGTTATGCACACTGCAATTTATCTACTCCCCCAACCCAATTATTTGATAATATTCTTGTGGTAATCTGATTAAATGATCAATTTAAGAATTATAAGATATGTTCACAAAAAGATATGCTTGTTTAATGAAGAGATTATTTTATGAGCTTATATTCGGCATGTATCCTCACAATCTAGCCACAACAGCCACCAAAATATACTTAAAGAGGCTACGATGGTACTACTTGTGTTTGGAAATCAAACAATAAAGCTTTCTGTCTAGCAGAATGATACAGTTATTCTTAATGCATCCACCGCAGGTGTTGTGAAATCAAAGCGGTCAATATGGAGGCTCAGCACGATAATTGATTTCTTTAAGGCCATTGTGAACTTCATCTCGGTCTTCTTTGTTACTATGTTCTCGGTATGCTCTCTAATTTTACTTCTCATGAAATATTTGCCAAATACCAACTTTTCTGGATTTATGTGAGAAAATCCTGTGGTAACCTTTTTGTTTCTCTGTGTTGCAGATGGACAGAACAAATGAGTTCAAGAAAAAATCTGGAAAGAAATGGGATGGTGGCCCAGGCGGTGGAGGTCCCTACGGTGGAGGCGGAGGTGGTGGACCTCGCGGACCACGTACCATGGCCGACCTCCGGTCGAATGACCACAGTAAGACTATAACTTCTAAGCTTCAACCTTTTGTTTAGTAGTTGTTCTTCAGTGCACAGTGTTACAATAATTTTTTGCGTTTCAGGTTCACTTCCTGCGTGCGGTTCCTGCTGCGGTGGCTAAGAACTAATGAAGCTGTATAGTAAATCCTTTGTTGCTACTTTGAAGATGTGTCTATGCTTTTTATCTCCTTGTGATTCACGCACGCCTTTCGTGTATTTGTGAACGCTTTTATTTGTGAGGCCAACTACATCAAATTTTAATATGATTATGTAATGGTTCATCCTGGAAGCTGTACACTTTTGTATATGTTTTCATGCCACATACACTTAGAGGTATCATATGTGCAATTGCAGATTGATTTCTTTTGCTGCAGCCATGCCATTATCTCCTGAACGCGCGAGAGTGAAACATCAACTTCTCAACAACTCTTTGCATATGGATTTATTGGTGCTTAGTAAAGTATCTACTTCTAAGCGCAGCACTCTTGCATATAGATTTTGGTCCTATGAGCACCTCCTAACTTGAAGGGAATATTGTTGTTGTTGTTGTTGTTGATGATGATGGTATCTCTTGATTTAGTTTGGGTTTTATTCCTGTCTTGTTAAATTGATGATTTTGAATCTCTTTTTAACTTTAATTCTAAGAGTAAGTTGAAAAGGGTTATGGTCCTTTCGTTTTAAAGCCTAGAAGTGATCCGGATGATTAATCTTGAAGGGGTGGATTTCTGACAGCATCACATTGAGCATACTTAGCAAAATGTTTTTAAGGCTGTTTTGTTAACACAACATGTTATGTTTTTGAATCGGATTTTGACTCAAGTTTAAAAGGAGACTTAACATGAATTTTATATATAAATACACACACACGCACACTTGAGTAGTTCTAGTTCGAGTCCTTGGTTGCAAAATGCTTTATTCATTACGCAAATGAAAATCTGGCAAATATTGGTGCAAACAAGAAGACAAAATCTTGTTTTGGTTATTCTTCTACAAAAAGTCAGAAAGAATGTAATAAAAGAAAATCTACTGTAGAAAATCTATATATGTGAGTTTAAAGAAAACTAACAAATTTGTACTAAGAATTTGTTAAGATAAAAATTGAATTTCCAAGAACAAGAAATATAATATGAATGATACAAAATGATCTGCCGTTAAACATGCAGATAAATATTCTAACTGTAAATCAATCCGAGCTATGATTCGATTAATCTAGAGGGTGTTTGGGATTTTATGCTTATAAAGTAAGGCTAGTTTTTAGTGGCTTAAATTTAATATAATTTGTTTGGATAGAAAAGTCGTTTAGTTGGTCAAACCTAACTTACTTATATCAGTTTATAAGGTAGTTTTTCAAAAATTGGCAAACCCCAACTTTTAAAATTGGCTTAAAAGATAGCTTATTGAGATGTCACCAAACTTGTACATATAAAAATGCTACCTTAAATGCTCATTTGACAAAAAATAAGCTCTTCTAAACA